ACAGATATAAAGGAGATAAAATAGTGGATAACCTGGGTAAGAACTTTGAATAATAATTAAGCAACCCTAAAAATGATTTTAATTCCGTAACATTACGTAGTACAGGGGCTTCTTTAATAGCTCTGACCTTCTTATTCGAGGGGTGGAGTCCATCTTTATCTATTATGTGTCCCAGATATTTTACGAAGGGTGAGGCGAATACGCACTTCTATCTCTTAAGTGTAACACCAGCCTTTTGTAGGCGCTCCAAAACCATATCAAGATTTTTAATATGTTCTTCCTCATCTGCTCCAGAAACAAGAATGTCATCAATGTAAGTGACTACTTTTGGAAGACCTTGGAGGAGACTCTCCATTGTCCTCTGAAAAATTGCTGGTGCTGATGAAATACCAAAAGGTAATCTTTCGTATTGGAACAATCCTTTGATGGTGTTTATCGTCGTGTATCTCTTTGATTTCTCATCTAGGACTAGCTGTTGATAAGCATGTGACAAATCTAATTTCATGTAGAGTTCTCCACCTGATAAAGCTGTAAAGAGATCTTCTACTCTAGGTAAAGGATAAGCGTCCAGCTTTGATACTCTATTAACAGTTACTTTGTAGTCTCCACAAATGCGAACACTACCATCAGGTTTGAGTACAGGGACAATCGGTGCTGCCCAATCAGAGTATTGTACGGGGGTGATGACGCCTTCCTTCTGTAAAGGGTCCAGCTCTAATTTTACCTTCTGCTTAAGGTACAACAGGCTCAACGCACAATTTAGATTTCGGGACACAAATTGTTTTCTTTATCCTTTTTCTAAAATATATAATTTTTTCAATTTTTTTTTCAATAGTGAGATGCAATAAACTTTACTAAACTTTGTAAAATGGATGAAAACTGAGTAAAAAATTCTTGAACATGATGAGAGTACTTGAATTTTTAGTAATATCATTGTGTTTATAATATTATTTTCTATTGACTTATGTTGCATCATTTGGCAAAAGTTTTTCAAGTTTGCAAAATGGCCTGCAATCTCTCATAAAGTTTTGTTGTGTTTCAAACATCAGTGTATCACAAAAGCATTTAGTGTATACAAACTTGATTGAGTGTTTGCCTTAATTCTGCCACGATTGCAAGCTTTTGAGCTTTGTAGGACCTGCATTCACCAGATGAAACAGCTAAATAAACAATAGTCAGGAAATACATACTGGTGGACATTTTTATTAATGGTTTGACTAATATGACGTCATAACTTAACCCCACCTTGCAATTAATTTTTCCCGCCAGTTTTATAATATACAGAGGTATCCGGAAATGACAAGATCAAAGATGGCGTATAAAGTATGAAAAGTTATGCAGGAATTTCTTTTAATATTTAAAGTTAAATGATCTATAACTTCTAAACAGTGCATGGTAAAAATTTTAAAATAGCACAAGTTGTACAACTTTTTCTTAACTATAAAATGGCAGCAATTAAAAAAATATTAAAATTTCATCCAAAAGTACCTTAAGAGCATAGGGTATAGGTCTAGGTTTGAAAAATTGAGGTTGAGCATCTTAAGGTACAATGATAGTAGCTTCCATTCCTTCCAGTTTGCCTAGTTTCTCTTGAAATAATGATGAATGTTTCTGAAAAACATCATTCAGAGCTGTACTATGGTTAACATTCTTGATTGACTTCCAGTCCAGTTTAATCTTCTGTAACCAGTTTCTTCCAAATAAACTTGGGCCTTTCCCTCTAACCACAACAAGAGGTACTGTAACAACTAGTGATTGATAAGTTATCATAACTTCTGCTTGCCCTATGACCTTTAATTCATGGCCTGAATATGAAGTGAGAGAAACCTTTGAAGGTTGTAGTGTGATAGTTTCTCGTAAAACGTCATCGAACGTTTTCTCGCTGATGATCGAAACAGATGCTCCTGTGTCCAATTCCATGACAAGCTCCTTTCCATTGATCGTGACGTTAACCTGAATAGGATCAACCCTAGAGGAGAGAGTGTTAATTGTGTACATATCATGTGTGCTTTGCATGGTAGTATGTGTGGATGTGTGTGCAGAAACAGTAGAGTCACAGTTTTCATTGTCCAAATTGTTTACATGGCGGGAGGACCTAACTTTTTTCTGTGGTGGCTTTGAGGTAGCTGGCTTCTGTGGTTTGCTCCTACAAACCTTTCCTATGTGACCAAGTTTACCACAGTTATGACACTTGGCAGTACTGAAGCGACAGGTGGAAGGTGAATGAGCATTCCCACATCTGTAACATGGCTTCATAGGAGGTCTCTTGTCTACTGTGCGGTTGATACCATCCTGCTGCTCTTTCTTTGTTCTCGCGAGGTCACCTTCCATCATGTGGGCATGCTTCTTTGCCCCTTCTAAGCCTGTAGCAAGTTCCACAGCACGACTAAACGATAGATCATCCTTCTTTGTGAGTAGTCTGCTTCTTATGAACTCCTGTCGTAGTCCACAAACAAATCTGTCCCGAAGCGTTTCATCAAGAGTGTCTTTCTTGAAGTTACATCTTGTAGCTAGTTTGCGTAGCTCTGCAACATAGTCAGCAATAGTTTCCAGGTCTCCTTGCCTTCTGCAACCAAACTGATAACGTTCTGCAATTATAGATGATTGGGGGTGAAAATGAGAGGTAAGTTTCCCAATCAGCT